ATTGACTCTTTCGTTGAGTTGTGGGTGAATGCTGAGGGCAGCGAATGCTTGAGCTGTACCCTGGCTGAACCCAACATAGCTCAACGTCGGTGCTTTAGTGAGATCCAGAATGTGGTTGATAGAGTCTGGAATGTCGTGCCAAGCGAAATCGTCGATACTGAAGAGACGCTAAGCGGGACGCTGCAATCGGACAGCTAAACATGTCGTACCTGTAGTCCCAGAATTTGGCCGAGTTAGGACCATGATGGATGGACTTTTTAGAATATTTATTTCCCCTTGATTCATTTTAGTCACGCAAAGTCCAATCCAATTGTTTCAACTCACCTGTTGTTACCCAACCACACATCATAACCTTGCTCCGCCAGGGTAAAAGCCAAGCTGCGCTCAGCGTCCGTGAGGCATATCCACACCTCGCTGTTCATCAGAAGACCGTGGTGGAGGTACACAACGGGTTTTCCTGTGCTCGTCCCTGGATGAGGGTTCTTCTCGCCCCGTTTACATGGCAAGCGATGCAAGCCCAGTAGGTAACCATCCTTGGTCAGAACGACATGTTCCTCATGAGTATATCCCTGTATATTGCACAGCTCCTCGAAGTCTCGGGCATTCAGGACAGCTTCCGCTGCTTTCTTCTCTGGCGAATTGTCCTTGTACCTCCCGCTGATATGGTGAAAGAGCGCACGAGATTGTCGGTAAAACCAGTTGATAACTGGTTTGGGCAAACAGAGGATGATAATGTGAAGTAGAGATTCGAAAGCGAGAAACGAGAATCCGAATACAAGCGCGACGTAGTCCCTTACAGAGATGCGGCCAAGTAATGGCAATCGTGCCATTAGCTGAGTGTCGAAAGTGACGCTATGATGGAGTGGGCCAAAGGGAGGGTTGCGCTAAAATTAGCCTGCACAGACTCCAAGTGGCTGTGCAGGGATGAACATTAGCTCGTGATTGCGATTTCGAACCCAGTCACTCCAGAAGTTATGATGTTTTTCCTTCCATCACTCATCTTCGTATTCGCTCTGGCTCATGTTTCTTGGACGAGCCGGCAAGAAATATGTGGCTTTACTCCTATCATTGGTTTTTAGCACACTCCTACTTCAATCACGCACATATGGCGAGCTCAAGAAAAACAATAACTCTGTTCATGGACTATTTGACAAAAACATTCAAATGGCTGTTGATGACTTTATTCGCCAATTTCCTGTGATAACACCCAGATGGACCGAACCAACGCCAGTGCCTGGGCTTAAATCGACTCTCTTGGCCGAGGCAGCAATCACAATCTGTGACTATGTGGTTGGAAAAAGGATCCTCTTCGTCGGGCCAGAGACTACATATCATCTGCACAATCTCTGGTTAGCTGCGCTAGAACGCCAGAAAGGTCACTCGCTGCACTGTCCTGGCGCCCAGTACTGTGTCTTCCACCATATCTGCAACTTTGATCATGACTCTTCTTCCACAATGATCTTCGACGGTCGTAAACAGAAGCTCCCTGGCAGTCGACAATTGCGCGAGACCGGATCCGCCATCCTGCAATACACTCTGTCTTCTTCCCTGGCTACATCTGACGGTACTTTGGGCGACAAAGAATCTCGTCCTTTGGTTGACCAACTCAATGATGTGCGCGTTCACAACTCGGACTGGATTATGCGCTTTCGGAGGGCAGATATCGTCGTAATGAGCCGTGCTCCCATTCCACCTCCGTCCTGGACATACACTGTCTTCTCCAAATTCAGCTTCACCGACCACCTGGCCTCGTTTTATCGAACAGCAGATGGGTTAGAAGAAACTATGTTCCAGGCGGCATTCAATCGCACGGTGGAGGAATTCTTGCCATCCCTGAGTCGAACCATCCGGTCTATGCTCAACTTTAACAACAAGGACAAGACTCTCATTTGGCATGGACACTGGCCACTGAACCCCGTGTGCACTAATCGTGGGTTACTGCTCCGTGTTCCACGTATCCGACAATTTTGGGCTCCTGGGATCGATTCAGTTGACCCATGGACTTACTATTATAACGCACAAGGTGGGAGATATCTGCTTGCGTCCAGAGAATCGCTGTCTCATTCTCTGTACCGTACAGTGTACATTCAAAACCACCTCCTACCCCAAATCCTCTCTCCATTCAACATAACGTTCATACCTGTCGAACACCGTTGGTCGCACTCGTGGGGGCTAAAATTCAGTAATAAGGATGGTCGTAGGGATTGTATCAGAGAGATGGGTGAAGACATTTCTGCCGAGTTTTTCTCCGGCCTCGTACATACATTACAAGCCACCGCATCCTGAATCAAGACAATCTAAATGTTATCTACCGCTTCTTTTTTGTATTTGTTGACTTCCTCGTGCTCTCGAATTGTTCGCGTTTATGGCCAACGAAGTTGCCACGCTCAAGTGCTTGCTTCGCAGCCTCCGAGATTCGTTTCCAGCGGTCTGACCCCAGTTTCACACCTCCATACCACCGTGAGACTACGACCACGACGTTCTCCAGCTTGGAAAGCTCCAGGAGACGCAATAAACGATCACCACTTCCACTTTCTCCTCCATCATTCTGACCAACAACAACCTGCGACGTTTTTCCGTCTACAGTGCGATATGCATACATGCAATGTGTCGCGCGCCTGAGAGCCGGTGAGCCAGTAAGATATTTGAGGAAGTTCGGGAAAGCTGATGCATCTTCAAGTGTAGAAGCATGTGCTAAGAAGACTGATTTTCTGTCGGATATTCGCTCAGAAGCGTGGATAGGATAGGGCCACGATGTGTCGTCGGAACTGGCTTTCGGCGGCTCTGTGTATGAAACGTTCAACGTGTTAGTTCGGAAGAGTCGCCAGTTGGCACCAGCCATAAGCTATTGGACATTTCACGTACCTACAGGGCTTCTCACGGATGCATTCCGTTTCCTGACAAGGATGGGTGAAAGTCTTGGGTGGAGTTCTCGGAGTAATTGTGCAGACGACCTATATGGGCGAAGATAAGATTGCATTGAGTGCTTTGCTCGCGAATTGTCTCTGTGATCCTCTTCTGGAGGTGTTGGCACACCAATCTCTCCCAAACACACTTCTCAATCTTTCCCGTTATGTCGAGCTCGTTTCTTGTCCATGGTTCGAAATGGCTGAGCCATATGCTGGGGTTTGCAGCTGAGAACCAAGGCTGTCATTACCAGAGGCGAACACGTTGGTCACAAGTAAGTGAACCGGACCTTTGACCTTGCGGTAAGTGAACCTGCTGACGCCTATGTGTTCGAAGTGGAAACGCTTATCTTGCATTTTACAGTAACCTTCTCACATACCTCCTGCTCCAAGTCAGAGCAGGCCATATGGGTGTTTGCGAAATATTTTTAGCAGCGGTACATGCCCTGAAGCTAGATACCCTTAATATGTAACTGAGGTATGCATCGACAAGCATTGAAGTTTCCGTCGCTCCCCCACTCCTGAACGAACCTAACCCGACTCGAGATGCGTATGTTGGCCTACATCGTTCTTCAAAACCTTTGTTGTTAAACCAAGATCATTATTTACAGGATTGATCATTCGCGAAGACCCCGAATCTGTTGGAGAGTACATTGCCAACTACGTGTGCAAGAGGTTAGCAAACGCATATCTCCCGTTCTCCTCCACTTCAACGTCGCTGTTGCAGGATCAACGATTTTAACCCTAGTCCCGAGCGGCCCTTTGTGCTCGGCCTTCCTACGGGATCCTCGCCTGTGCCGACGTACAAGGCTCTGATTAACCTCGTCAAAACAGGCAGACTGTCGTACGTTCGCCATTTCTTTTCGTCATATCTGCTGCTCTCATACGTGTGCGTTAGGTTCAGGAATGTTATAACTTTTAACATGGATGAATACGTCGGGTTGCCCCGTGACCATCCCGAATCCTACCACAGTTTTATGTTTAGAGAACTCTTCAGTCATGGTCCGTCCGTGTTCCCATCCCCAACTTCTCGTCCTGATCTTGTCTTCCTCTTAGTCGACATCCCTCCCGAGAACGTCAATATTCTCGACGGGAATGCTGATGACCTTGTCTCTGAATGCAACGACTACGAGCGACGCATTAAACAGTATGGCGGCGTCGAGCTCTTCCTGGCCGGTATCGGTGAAGACGGTCACATCGCGTTCAATGTAAGGCTTCCTCGGCCTTCCACGAAAGGCAGCCTCTCACCATCGTTCTGCTCTAGGAACCTGGTTAGTGTTCAATCCATTCTCCGTCATTCCCCCTGCCTGTATCATGTGTTTGATGCCGACATCGTATGCAGGCTCGTCGTTGACTTCTCGTACCCGGATCAAGACATTGGCGTATGGTACCATCCTGGCCAACGCTAGATTCTTCAACAATGATATTTCTGCGGTTCCGCATATGGCGTTAACAGTGGGAGTACAGACTGTCCTCGACAGCAGGGAGGTCGTAGTCGTTGTCACTGGTCAACGCAAAGCTCTTGCTATAGCAAAGGCTATCGGTCAGTGACAATATTAGAGCCATACTTCCCAAGGCTCACTACTCTATTCTCACCAGAGGAAGGAGTGAATCATCTCGTAAGTACCGCCGAACACACAGGGACCTAGAAGCATTTGCTGATTGGTATGTGAAGTGGACACTCTCCGCGCTTCAAATGCACCCATGGGCATTGATAGTTGTCGACGAAGACGCTACTTTGGGTGAGTTGGCCTTATCGACACGATTCCTTGTGTCTGCTGTGCTAACTACACTACCTACAGAATTGCATGTCAAGACGGTCAAGTACTTCAAATCTATCGAGCAGGTTCAGGAGGAGGTAGAGAAGAACCAGGCAGAGTTAAAGAAAAAGAAACATGCAGCTGTAAATGGGATCAACTAGAGATTGATGATTATGCACGAGTACTACTTAGGATGTGTATGTTTCAATTGCAATACCCTTGACCAACACTGTCGTTGTGTATTGATATGTCGAATTGAAGCGATAGTCGTTTACCTTGCGAAGGGGGCAAATGCGTTCAAGTGTTGGTTGTGTTGTGTTCAAAACAAAAAGTTAGGTGCTACCAGGGTTCGAACCTGGGTTTCGGGAAGAATTCAATGGAAAAGCCACTTCAAAATCCCGAGTGATAACCACTACACTATAGCACCTTATGACACTAGTTGTGTAAGGCGCACCCCATCCTCCAGCATTACTCTACCACCAATAAAAAATGGTATTCTATTTTTCCAATCCGTGTCTTGCTGATATCCAAGCTGTGAGGTCGTCCTTCTCAACCTGAACGTCGTGAGAGGACTCCAAGTGTCGCCGCAAATCGTAAAGCCTTGTAAAACAAGCACTACACCGGGGCTGATGGTTTGAACTGCCGGGCAGAGGTGAAGACAAAATTCCGTCGAAGTCTGGGAAAGGACAGCCGAATGCTCTTCCTCGGGACATCCTCGATTCAGCGCGTGTAGCATAGGCTTTTCCAGTGATAAGGTCAATTTTGGAAGTGTGAGCAGGCTGGTCAGGGCGAGGAGTTTCAGATTCTTCATCGCTGGTTGAGTCGTGCATATGATCGGATGAGACGTGGACTTTGGCGGTGTGTCTTTGGAGGAGATGTTTGTATCCAAAGGTTTTTCCGCATTCGAAGCAAGCGAAATCTCGCCTGCCCAAATGCGTCACCTTTTTGTGGGTGTCTAGTGCTTTTTTCTAGGATACTAGTCAGTACATAGCGGCTGAACTTGTATCGGTACGTACTGATTTAAAGTCTTTCTCGCAACCGTCTTCATCGCATTTGAAGTCCCGACCGATCTCACCTCCTCTCCGTTGCTTCTTCGACAGAGGCTGTGGTTCATCGTCGGCATCTGACTCTATGTGTCGACGCATCTCCGACTCAAGGTCTCGCTCTTCATGAAGTTTCAGATGTGCCCTTAAACCCTTCTGCGATGCAAAGGTCCGTTCTTGACAATCAGGATATGTGCATTTTGGAGGGTGTTCTTTCCGAATGTGAGTTTGAAGAGCAGACCATGTCGGAAAGTAGTTCGGAGTCTGGTCAGCAGTCGCCAGGCATGTAGCATAAACGCATGTATATCTTTCCGCTGCAGAACGATCAGCCTAGTATTGAACAAAACGGCAGTTGCTTACGGTCGTGCGTCTTCTTGTGAGTTTTCAGGTGCTGGTTTGTATTGAACGACTTGGAGCAGCCCTCACGATCGCATATGTAGGGCTTGGTACCTTCAGGAGCGTGGGTTTGGCAGATATGGGTACGCAGTTGATGGTGTTTTGAAAAAGCTTCTGTACAGCTATCGTGAGTGCACTACATCGTATCAAGTTAGGTATGTCCAGGTAACGATTGCCAAAGCTCACAAGGAAAGGTTTGGCGCCGCTATGCCAATCTAAGTGGGCTTTGAGGTGCTGAGACGTCCAGAAACGCTTTCCGCAGCCTTCGATCTGGCACGCGAGGGGGCGATGTTCTTCAGGCAGATGCGATCTCGTATGAGCATGTAGGTGGGATTCCCTCAAATAAGCTTTCTTGCACGTTTCGCAGATGTATGGGCGCTTGTCCGAGATCAGAGTCTGGGTATGGTTGAAGGATGTAAGGACCAACCCACCTGTCCAGTATGTGTTCGTTCGTGTTCTTCAAGGCGAGATGGTTTTGTGTAGGCCTTATCACAGCCCGTATGCGTGCATTGATATCGTTTCTTGGTATACTTGGATATCTTGCCGTTGATTATGATTGGCTTGGAATCCTTTTCTGGGTTGTAGTCATCGGATTGCTCTGAGGAGGATGAATTTGAGGTAGCCACAGCTCGCAGAATACCACGATAAGGAGGAGATGTCTTGCGTTTTCCAAGGACAGTCAGGGTCTGCACCTGGGTGGCCATTGGCATGTAATGGGAGTCGCAAAAAGCTGAGGCTGGTTAGGCAAGGTGTGGGAATAAATGGGCGGAGTATGTCGGGCCGATGTCTAACGCGATGGACGCGGTCGCGTTGTTGGGCCATATTGTGCCAGTCGATGCATGTTCAACGACTGACCATCGTGGGCAGCCAACAATTTGCCCTTGTCGTTGTCCGTTGCGATGAGCTCGACAGAATCGCCGCGAAACCTCCTTCTTCGTATCCTCTACACCATCAATGGCTCTCCTCAGTACATCCTCGCAAAGTCGCAATCCACCTATCCCGTCGAATTCATACCTCAGTCATCACTCTCCAACGCCGCTCAGCAACACGACGACAACGCCCATTGTTTCGCGTCGACCTCGCTCAAGAACTGTCTGCGGACACTTTGTATGTCGAGCCCAGAGCTCATGGCTGATACCTCTCGAGACTTCTCCGTCTATGTACTCGACCCTCTGGAATCCAACTCTGCCCCAGCGCCACTGCAGATATCCAACGCCAAACCAGGCGAGCCTTCTACTGACATCAATCGGGGCCTAGCTGTAGGGTATGGTCTCATGTCATGGGCACTGAGCTCGGAGGGCGAGTCGCCCAAGGCCGTCGGCACAATTGTCAAGTCGAGCACTTCGGAGTCTCTCGAGGTTGTTTTCGCTCTGCGCGAGGTAAGCGTGATAGGATGTCCTACCGAAAAACAATCACTCAACTTTTTTTTTCGCTCCCTCTCAGACGGTCACCAAGCCACCTCCAACATGGACAACACAAGCGCATGTTTCTCAACAGGTCTCGCAGTTCGTGGGTACCAGAGGCCTGAACTCCCGGGCTAATAGTTTTCCCAATGTACGGGCTATACCTGGCTGGGCCGTTAACGTTGCTAAGAGCCTATTTTCTAGACGTTTGCAAGTACATCGGGGACTTCGACATCTGCCGCAGGTCCAAGCTCATTACACACTCAATCTTCTTTCTTCCTATCGTCACACGTAACTGCCGCGCCAGCACCACCAGCTGTCACAGAAGCCAAGCCCCGGACTAAGGCAAGGCGGTCAGCACCTGTTACGGAGTCAGACCTGTTTTTGGAAGTGCCCGATATATACATTGGGCCTCAAAAGAAAAAGGGACGACCAAAGAACTCCAAGAATGGTTCATCCAACTCCAAATCCAGGTCTACCGGTGGCAATGTCAGGGACGCGATAGTCATTGACTACGACAATCAGACACGGCATCAACACGTTGCTTTCCAAGACAATGTTGCTGGCCCCTCCAATCCTCTTCAAACAGCTCAGCCAAACGCAGCAGCAATCAAGTTGGAGCCCCATGAAGAGACCGATCTTTTGAACCTCTTGACGAGTGTGACAGGTGGCTCTTCGCTCCAGTCTGGCCAAAATGCGGCACTTTTGGCAGCTCTTAGCACGATTGACTCGAATTCAGCAGATAGCACCCCTACGAACCCGGCATTAGTTTCCGCCCTCAGACATATACTATCCATGTGCGCCGCGACAGCTTCAAACACGTCGGTTGGTGGATATACTCAGCCGACAGCACCCCCAACCAATCATGCGAACCCACAAGATGATGATATCGTTATTCTTGATAAAGAGAATCTCAACCCGGCAGCGTTTACCCGCAAAATCCAGAGAGAAACCTCTGAAGCGAAACTCAAATCCGAGAAAGAGACACCACCCGCTGCTCGCCCTCCTCAAGGCTTGTCTATCAGCTCGAAAGCCAACGGAGCGTCACCTCCACAACAACTGCAATGGAATTCCACACCGGCACCGTCATCAACGATGGTACCTTCGCGCAAACGCACACTCAGCGACTTCATGGACGAACGGGAAAACATGAAAATTAAGAATAAAGGAAAGGAGCGTGAACGCACCGAGAAGAAAGACTCGCGTCGCCCCAGCTTCTTGCAGCCCAAGGCACCGGCTGAACCCTACCGACATTATCGATTCGTCGATGACGACTTGCCCAAGTCAGACAACCCAAGTTCGTATTATCGAGCTCCGTTGCCCTGGTCATCTCCAGCAAGGCCAAAATCGCCACTCGCTCCTTCCAACGATCCCTATCTGGCTGACAACGAAACCAAAGGGGCCCTTTTGCCTGCGATGCGCTCCCCTGCACGAATACATAGAGTGGCGCAGTCATCTCCCATACGCGGTCCTAACGCCACAAAGAAGAAATACACAGTTCCAGCATGGGCAAAGACTGACACGGCAATGCAACCAAGACTTTCTGATGAGGCTCAGAGGACGATTAAAGAAGCTGAAGAGAAAAAACGTCGCGAACGGAAAGAAACCCGCCGAAAGTCGACGCTGTCTCGACAAGAGAGACAGCGTAGCGACAACGTTCCATCCAGTCCCTCAACTGTATCAGTGACACAATGCGTTACCTCCACCACCACGTCCACGACTACGATAGCGACGACTATGACGGCTATGAAGTCCCTCCCGTTCATCGCAGCTGCCAATCTCTCTCCATTCGGCCGGTTGTTTTCAAGTCCTGGACGTCGCTCACCGTCGCCAACACCATCTCGTATTCCTATCATTCCTCAGACACCTACCAGGCCAAAGCGAGTGGTATCTCAAGGCTCCGCGTATATGGGTGACTCTCTCTTTACTCCAATCGGAAGGACTGGAGGTAGCCTTTTTGGGAGTGCCCGTACACCCCGTCTGTCTCCTCAACTCGGATATGGTCCTTCTGGATCTCCGCTCAACAGGAAAAGGGCAAGGACCAGTCCCAAAACGCTTCTTCTATCCCCTCTTAAGCCCAAAACGCTGTTCCAATTTGAGACACCTTCATCGAATCGATCAGCGAACGACAATGAAATGGAGGCTGCTTTAGAAAGGGAGCTTGGGGAAGCATTTGAGGATTTGGATGGGCCATCCAATTCGCTGCCCGTCGCCAGTGATGTCGAGACGGATGACGTGCCTTTCTCTCAGGACACAGACCTACAACAACAAGAAGGCGAAACCGACAGTGAGGAAGAACCCGTTGGAAAACCAGAGCTTTGGGAAGGGCTTCCACCATCCTCGCCTCTACCACCATCGAGCCCGCCTTTGATTCCTTCGGATACGAACGATGAAGACATGGAGGACCTGCAACTTCCGGTGGCGACATCGGACATGGACACAGATGTGGACGGGTTCTCATCGATGAACGAAGATGCCCAAGCTTTCTCGGAAGACGATTGCCTAAGAGACGACTTTTCAACATTCTTCGCGCTGCCAACCCCAGCAAATCTGGACGCCAACGCTCAAATAATGCAATCTGACGA